AGTAAGAGAATACTCACGCAAAGCTCTATAAATATACTAGGATTCACTAAATTGTATACTTCAAGTGGGTGAACTTTATGCTTTGAATTACATATGTATTTTGAGACAAGATCCTTCTTTGTAGCCCAGCCTGACGTTGAACTCACAAACCTAGGCTGGCCTCAAACTTGTAATCCTTCTGCCTCAGCCTCCTCCCATATAGAAATCTGTCTTTAAAATTCCCCACAAATCACAAGTAAGTTCATCATTATATAATTAATGCAAACTAGGTCTCAACATGATTGATTGCTCATAGGTAAAATATGTATTTTTCATGTGTCAAATAAAGCATACCTCACTGTCAAGAGACCACTCGTTTTACTTTACGAGATGAGACAGAAAATTTTCATCTACTATTACAGAAGGGAAAAATGTTCAGTCTTCAGCTTTAGTTCTGCCTGCACATCCTAGGAAATTAACACAGCTCTCAACTTCTAAGGGAAGTTCATATTGCAATCATAATTGTGTGTGCATTGAGGATACACAAACAACAAAACCTAGAGAGAACAAAGATGGAAAGGACATTGAAATTATATTGATATTTTTTTTTAAGTTGTGCACAAATTTTTGCTTTTTCCTTTCATGTTTAAAACTGATTTTAAAGGAGGTGGGGGGAAAAACACTTTATATAGAAAAGCAGTAGGAACTTTTCCTTAAGGCATTGAGTAGTATAACTCCAATGAGCCAACACTGAGGCAGAAATGGACTATGACAGCTTTTCCTCCACATTATTTCTTGGGTTTTGGCAGAGCACTAAAAGAACAGATTGACCGATGTACTGCTGTGGTGCTAGGGGAATCTGCTGCCTGCACAACTCTGTCATGAATATTGAAAGAGTCTCCTCATCCAGGGCAGTTGCCCTCATGGATCTGGCCACTGATCACTTGGAGACAAGAGGAAAGCTTGGATTGCCTCTCAGCAACTCCACTGATAACACCCAAAGAAGAGTCCAAGTCCTTGCCCTTTAAACCATGGGTCACTTTTATCCTACTCAGCCCTCTGCAAAGCACATGTGTTGTCAAGTCCGAGGAAACACTGAAGGAAGACCCCAGATTCAAATAGTATGCAAGAACAAAGAGCTTTTATTAGACCAGCATGCATGTGGGGTCATTCACCTGTACACAATGGCGATGACCCCAAGAGGGATGCACAGACTCCTTTTAAGCACACCTAAGGGGTGTTTCAGGGTGAACTACGTAATTGGTTAAACAGGCAACAGTTACATTAGTATATTTCTAATTGGCTGAGGTTTAGTCTTACCATTCCTGGAAACATCTGCACAAGTGTACACGTGACTCAGAAGGGGCCGCTGGGTTTGTCCTTGAGATACCGTGCAGCTGACTTAGGCCCTATGTGTTTGTTCTTTCTCTTGACCCTGAATGTAAGGACCTTGCAGATAAATGGCCCTTTGTTGGAAAAGACACCTGTCTGTCCTTCTCAGAGGACTGGAACCTAAATTCAGTTGTAAAAGTGGGAGAGCTTAACCCCTTCAATGTAAATACAGGGTGCTAAAACCTCACTTAAATAGCTCCATGCTTCAAAGAACACAAAGGAAATGAAAATGAAATAAATCAGTTAATCACAGCCTGGCTTCTAAATGATTGCTTTCTATTTCAGTGAACTTTTGTTTAAAGTCAAATACGAGCAGAATAAAAAGATCATACTTTTAAGAAGCACTGTGTGCTTCATAGGTCATTATTCTACTCAGTCATGGGCAAACATATGTAACAGGCTGTATTTTGACTCTTACTGGCGATGGCCTTTTACTGTTAGCTTTAAACTTACCAGTCCTCATGGCTCCAGGCAGGTTACTGGCTCCCTCAGGGAGCCGCCTTCCCACCATCAGATATGGGAAAAGTTCTACCAAAGGACAACCCACCAAGCCTGGCTTTCCTCAAGCATTGCCACACATTGTCCCTTTTCATCCCCTTTAGTTCATTCTTCCAGTTCTGGTGCTTCCTCAAACCCTACACCGATTGGTCCTTATCTTCCCTTTGGATCAGTGAGTCATTTCCGTTACTCAATTTAGGATCAACATAGTCACTTCCCAGTCTTTCTGGATTGGCTATTACACCAAGTAATTAGGCTAAGGCGTAACGTCAATTCCCTTTTTGTAGTGTTCATAGAATCTTGAGATAGATTAACACCTATGAAAAGCTTTTATTTTATGCTTTTTATAGATTATGTGTATGAATACTTTATCTCCCAGTATGCAAATTTTTATCTTTCAGTATTGCTTTCCACTAAAGAGAACCAGAACTTCTTGTAGGTATGATGGATTCCACATCAGAGGCAGAAAATTTATCAGGTATGCCTGGAACAAAATAGTGGAGCAGGGGAGAATGGGAATAGGATTGTAGACGGAAAGAGAAACAATTGACATGATCTTACAGTTTTGTTGAGACTTGTGTGCTCAGAACATGGGATGGTCTTCAATTAAAAATATAAGCATATGTATACAGTACACATATAATTTTAAAAACCACAATTGGTAGTTTATTATACACATTTTTCTCTGACTGATGGTATTTTATGTTAACAGCCTTTTTAAAAATTATCTTTGCAGGCCTGAAGAGATGGCTCGGGGGTTTAAAGTACTTCCTGCTCTTACAGAGGACTGCAGTTTGTCCCCCAGGGCCCAGGTTGTGACTAACAACCCTGTGACTCCAGCTTCTGGGGACCTGTCACTGTCTTTTGGCTTCTCTGGGCATTAGAACACTAGCATGAGTCTTATTATGTAGTCTTGGTTGGCTTGGAGCTCACTATGTAAACCAGACTCGTCTTGAACTCAGAGATCTGCCTATTCCTGTCTTTCAAGTGCTGGGATTAAATGAGTACACCATGCCCTGCTAAAAATTAGTCTTTTGTTTTTCAAGACAGGGTTTCTCTGTTTAACAGCCATAGCTGTTCTGGAACTTGCTTTGTAGATCAGGCTGGCCTCATACTCACAGAGATCTCACCTGCTTCTACCTCACGAGTGTTGGGCTTACCACCTTGACCATCAAAAGTAAGACTTTTTTTTTTTTTGGTTTTTCGAGACAGGGTTTCTCTGTGTAGCTTTGCGCCTTTCCTGGAACTTACTTTGGAGACCAGGCTGGCCTCGAACTTACAGAGACCCACCTGCCTCCGCCTCCCGAGTGCTGGGATTAAAGGCGTGCGCCACCACCGCCCGGCTAAAAGTAAGGCTTTTAAAAAGCATTTTGCCGGGCGGCGGCGGCGGCGGCGGCGGCAGCGGCGGCCCACGCCTTTAATCCCAGCACTCGGGAGGCAGAGCCAGGCGGATCTCTGTCAGTTCGAGGCCAGTCTGGACTACAGAGTGAGTTCCAGGAAAGGCAAAATATTGTGCATGCTAATAAACTTATTAAAAATATTAAACAGAGGATAGGCAGTGGTAGTACACGTCTTTAACCCTAGCATTCCAGAGGCAGAAATCCCTCTAGATCTCTGTGAGTTCTAGGCCACATTGGAAACAGCCAGGCATGGTGACTCACGCCTTTAATCCCAGAAAGTGAGCCTTTAATCCCAGGAAGTGATGTCAGAAAAGCAGAAAGATATATAATGCGTGAGGACCAGAAACTAGAAGCATTTTGGCTGGTTTTTAGGCTTCTAGCAGCAGTTCAGCTGAGACACATTTGGATGAGGACACAGAGGCTTCCAGTCTGAGGAAAAAGGATCAGCCGAGGAACTGGCAAGGTGAGGTACCTGTGGCTTATTCTGCTTCTCTGATCTTCCAGCATTCACCCCAATACCCAGCCCGGATTTGTTTTTATTAATAAGACCTTTTAAGATTCATGCTACACTGGGGTTTGAACCTAGAGCTTCACACATGGTGCCCAAGTGTCCTGGGCTGTGTCTACAGACTTTTGTGTATGAGTAGTTTTGAGACAGAATCTCACTGCATTGCTCAGGCTAATAAAACAGGATTACAGCTATTTCACAATGCCCCACAACAGTTATTTTTAATACAAGTATGTCTATGCATTACAGTATTTGGGGGTTTATAATTTTTATGTTGCGCTTCTTTCAAGCCCTTTGACGTGATCAAGAGACTTTGGCCCGAATTTCACCAATTTCAGCATTACATGCCAACAAATCAAAACGGTTGAAATAGGACTAGCCAGGTTGCTGTATCTAATTTTCAAGTGGTTTAAAAGTTTAGATTTGTTTGGATTGGGGGGGAGGGAGGGGAGCATTATTGTTACCTTGTAAAATTTCTTGTTTTAAAACACACCCTTTACTCAGGAGTCTTGTAAGATGTGAATACCAAAATCTTCCCAACCTCTCCTAGGTACATTCTTGGGGAGACTGCATAAAGCCTATTTCCCTTCACCAGAAGGTAAACGGCAGTGGTACAGACCACCCGTCTAATCTCATGATCACCAGTATTACACACATTTACCCAACACGATAAAGGTACAGGGATGGGGTCGGGGGAGTTCAGTTTAGAAGTCAATTAGGATTAAAGGACTCAAGGAGGTAGATCCAGGGAAGCAGCAAGGTTACTGGATCCCAATATGAATTAATTGGAGTGTTAAGGTAGAAGAAACCAGAAAAAAATGTAAGGTGCCCGCACGGTGAGAAGCATTACACATTAAAGATAAGCACAGCTACGTTACGTTCCACAGCTCTTTTTATAAATGCAAACCCTGCAGGGGTTCACGACCGAAAACAGGCGCCAGGGAAGGTCTGCTGCAGTGGCCCTGCAGGTCGGACCAGCCAGGAGGCTTGGAGGCTGGGGAGCACAGGTCCCCGGGAGCCCTCGGGCGGCCACAGCGAGCGGCCAGGTCTCCCCGGCGGGCGCCGTTTCCTGTGTCCGCGGGCGGGCGGGCGGGCAGTGACTCGGTACCGCCCAGGGCGTCAGCGTGACCCGAGGCTCAGTGAACCCTGAACTCACCGCCCCAGCCAGCTGCACACCCCCGGGGCAGGCGCTTTCTCGCGCACGGGGGGTGGGGCCTTTTCGGGCTGCTAACTAAGATGGTGTCGGCTGGACTTCCCGGGACGGCTGCCTAAGGGGGATCGAGGGCCGACAGCCGGAGGGACCACCGAGCCCAGTGTCGCGCCCGGACAGGACCGTGCGGGGGCCCGCAGGTTCCAGACTCGAAGGACCGAAGCACCGCCAAGTACGCCGTCGGAGCTAACAAATGTTTGAGAGAACGCCGAAAGCGCGGGGAGGCGGGCCGGACCCACTGTCACCATCTCGCGACAGCTAAGTGACGACGTCGCGCAGCAAGCGCGTGTCTCCACTCTTTCACCTTCAGACGCCGCAGTTCGTGGGCCTGCTCCTTTAAGTAAGTGACGGACAGCGCTTCTGCCCTATCGGCTTCCTGGTCGTCATCCAATCAGATTTAAACTTCCTCCAGCCGCCGGAGAAGTTGGAAGACTGGGGTCGAAAGAGAGCCGGAGAGTGAGCGAGTTGGGCTCTTCGTCTCTCGCGAGATCGGGGAGAGCCAAGCGCCCAGGAAAAACGCCAGCACTGATGTCCAGACTTCCCGAGTAGTGGTTTACAGGACGTGGTCGCAAACCAATGAGCGGGAAGAGAAGGTGGGCTCGCTGCTTTCGCCGTGCGAGAAGTACCGTTACAGGGCAGACTTTTTGTCCAATCAACGCCTCCGGGCTCTGGGTCAGGTGACCATGAAGTGCGAGGGGCGGAGCTACGGCCTGGCGCGAGGAACCGTTAAGACAGACAACGAATATAACCAATGAGGTACTCCGATTCGGGCGTTGGGAACCCAATAACAGCGTCGAGGCGGGCGCCTTCCCGGAGCGCGGGGAGATGTAAAGACGGACAAATACTTTTTCCAATGAGAAGGCTGAAGAGTGAATTAATGGACCAATGAGGTCTGCGGGGCGGGAGCCTTTGCCGCGGCGGAGTCCAAGATGGCGGCGTGCGAGTCCGCTGTGTGAAACGAGCGCGGGGTGGCGGGTTAGTCAGCTCCGCAGAGACGACCTCCGGCGACCCTCCACCATGAAAGGCAAGGAGCGCTCGCCGGTCAAGCCCAAACGCTCCCGGGGTGGCGAGGACTCCGGCTCTCGCGGAGAACGGAGCAAGAAGTTAGGGGGCTCTGGCGGCAGCAATGGGAGCAGCAGCGGGAAGACGGACAGCGGCGGGTCGCGGCGGAGCCTCCACCTGGACAAGTCCAGCAGCCGCGGGGGCAGCCGCGAGTATGACACCGGTGGGGGCAGCTCCAGTAGCCGCTTGCATAGTTACAGCTCCCCGAGCACCAAAAATTCCTCAGGCGGGGGCGAGTCGCGCAGCAGCTCCCGGGGTGGAGGCGGGGAGTCACGTTCCTCCGGGGCCGCCTCCTCCGCGCCTGGCGGCGGGGACGGCGTGGAGTACAAGACCCTGAAGATCAGCGAACTGGGGTCCCAGCTGAGCGACGAGGCGGTGGAGGACGGGCTGTTCCACGAGTTCAAGCGCTTCGGTGATGTAAGTGTCAAAATCAGTCACCTCTCGGGTTCTGGCAGCGGGGACGAGCGGGTAGCCTTTGTGAACTTCCGGAGGCCAGAGGACGCGAGGGCGGCCAAGCATGCCCGGGGCCGCCTGGTGCTCTATGACCGGCCTCTGAAGATAGAAGCCGTGTATGTGAGCCGGCGCCGCAGCCGCTCCCCGCTAGACAAAGATACTTACCCTCCGTCGTCCAGCGTGGTCGGCACCTCCGTGGGTAGCCACAGGCACGCCCCAGGAGGAGGAGGTCAGAGATCACTGTCCCCCGGCGGTGCTGCCTTGGGATACAGAGACTACCGGTTGCAGCAGTTGGCTCTCGGCCGCCTGCCGCCTCCACCCCCACCCCCATTGCCCCGAGAGCTGGAGAGAGAGCGAGACTATCCGTTCTATGACCGAGTGCGCCCGGCTTATAGTCTGGAGCCAAGGGTGGGAGCTGGAGCAGGTGCTGCTCCTTTCCGAGAAGTGGATGAGATATCACCCGAGGATGATCAGCGTGCCAACCGGACACTTTTCTTGGGCAACTTAGACATCACTGTGACAGAAAATGATCTGAGGAGGGCTTTTGATCGTTTCGGAGTCATCACAGAAGTGGACATTAAGAGGCCTTCTCGTGGCCAGACCAGTACCTATGGTTTTCTCAAATTTGAGAATCTAGACATGTCTCACAGGGCCAAGCTAGCAATGTCTGGCAAAATTATAATTCGGAATCCAATCAAGATTGGTTATGGTAAAGCCACACCCACTACCCGACTTTGGGTAGGTGGCCTGGGACCTTGGGTGCCTCTTGCTGCCCTGGCACGAGAATTTGATCGATTTGGCACCATACGAACCATAGACTACCGAAAAGGTGATAGTTGGGCATATATACAGTATGAAAGCTTGGACGCAGCTCATGCTGCCTGGACCCATATGCGTGGATTCCCACTTGGTGGCCCAGATCGTCGCCTTAGAGTAGACTTTGCAGACACAGAACATCGTTATCAGCAGCAATATCTTCAGCCTCTGCCCTTGACTCATTATGAACTAGTGACAGATACTTTTGGACATCGAGCACCTGACCCTTTGAGGAGTGCTCGGGATAGGACACCGCCCTTATTATACAGAGATCGAGATAGGGACCTTTACACCGATTCCGATTGGGTGCCACCCCCACCACCAGTTCGAGAACGCAGTGCTCGTGCTGCAGCTAGTGCTGTGACTGCTTATGAGCCACTGGATAGCTTGGATCGAAGGAGGGATGGCTGGTCATTGGACAGGGACAGAGGTGATCGGGATTTGCCCAGCAGCAGGGACCAGCCAAGGAAGCGAAGGCTGCCTGAGGAAAGTGGAGGACGGCATCTGGATAGATCACCTGAGAGTGACCGGCCACGAAAACGTCACTGCACTCCCACTCCTGACCGAAGTCCAGAACTGAGCAGTAACAGAGATCGCTACAACAGTGACAATGATCGATCCTCCCGTCTTCTTTTGGAAAGGCCCTCTCCAATCAGAGATAGACGGGGCAGTTTGGAGAAGAGCCAGAGTGACAAGCGAGACCGTAAAAACTCTGCATCAGCTGAACGGGATAGGAAGCACCGGACAGCTGCTACTACAGAGGGAAAAAACCCTCTGAAAAAGGAAGAACGGTCTGATGGCAATGCCCCCAGTGCCAGCACTTCTTCATCAAAGCAGAAACCTCCTTCCCAGAAGCAGGATGGAGGGACAGCTCCTGTGGCGGCATCCTCTCCCAAACTCTGTTTGGCTTGGCAGGGCATGCTTCTACTGAAGAACAGCAACTTCCCTTCCAACATGCATCTATTGCAGGGTGACCTCCAAGTTGCTAGCAGTCTACTTGTAGAGGGTTCAACTGGAGGCAAAGTAGCCCAGCTCAAGATCACTCAGCGTCTCCGTTTGGACCAGCCCAAGTTGGATGAAGTAACTCGTCGCATCAAAGTGGCAGGGCCCAATGGCTATGCTATACTTCTGGCTGTACCTGGAAGTTCTGACAGCCGATCCTCCTCTTCCTCAGCCACATCAGACACTGCCACCTCTACTCAGAGGCCACTTAGGAACCTTGTGTCCTATTTAAAGCAAAAGCAGGCAGCTGGGGTGATCAGCCTCCCTGTGGGAGGCAACAAAGACAAGGAAAACACCGGGGTTCTTCATGCCTTCCCACCTTGTGAGTTCTCTCAGCAGTTCCTGGATTCCCCTGCCAAGGCACTGGCCAAATCTGAAGAAGATTACCTGGTCATGATCATTGTCCGTGGTGCGTCCTAAAGTCCATGTGTAACTTGTATTTACTACTTTGACATGGTTCCTTGTTTTGTGATATGTAATGGGATACAGCATCAGATAAATTTCTTTCAATTAGTTTAGTTGATTTTTTTATATCTATATTTTTGTAAATCTCCTTAAAATAGATATTGGGGCAATTTAGCTATTATTTTAAGTGAAAGGGATTCCCTGAAAGTAGCAAGAAGATGGATTTGCTTTAATTAGGAGTTACTTTTTTTTTTCCTTCAGGTTTTTTTTTTCTTTTTCAGTCTTCAGTTTAAAAAATCCTCAAAATAATAAAACCCACAATTTTTAGAATCATAATTTGGAGAAAAGAGCCTTCTGTACTGAAAAAATAGTTTGATTGGTGCATAATTTCTATACTAGAAGCATTGATCAACTATTGCAAAGTTCAATTATTTTAATCAGGTATTGAGTATTTTTCTTTAAATAGTTTATTCCTGGAAAGTTTTCTTTAACATATCATTAGTTTTTGAGTTTTGTATCCTGTGTTTGTAGCAGTAATTGGTAAAAATTGAGGCTTGGTTACAAACCATTTATATCTTAAGCTGGTCTGCAAGAAATGAGTAAGTGCTTTTAAAATGAGAATTTTTTTGGTAAGGTGCACAGTGGTGTTTTTCTTGACTTTGAGAGGTGTAGCAAATACATTTCTAATTGTGTATACTTCAAAAGCAAAATGAAGTTTTTTGTATCCATTTAAGAAACTTCTGGTTTCAGTAATAGAAAGAAGAGTTGTCTGCAGGCTTGTATATATTCCTTTTTTTCCCCCCTTAGTAGACATTAATCAAACATCTAAATTACAGATTTTTTTTTAAGGCTACTGTAAAATGCCCTTGATATATTTGAAGAAAATTCTTTCAATTTTTATTTTCATATTCAAACAGGAGTAGTGGTATTACATTGTCCACAGTGTTTTGAATATCTTTGAAATTTAGTGTTTAATATTTTGACTGCTGTCTGGCTGTAGAGGTTTAAAATGTCAGTGTTAGAAAGTCTTTTTTTTTTATTTCCCAGGTGCCTGTATTTAAAATAATTTAACTTACCTGCACAGAACCCACACCCCCTCACCCAAAATAAAAAGCTGAGGAGGATATGACATCTGATCCTTAATAAGGGCTTTGGTTACTTTATAGTGGTATTTTTTGTTTGTTTTATGTGCTCTTCTGCCACTACTTGTGATTTCTAAGGCCATTATTAAGTATGATTTTCTTCCTCAATATAAGTACTGAGGACTTCAAGTAGGGCCCAGTATTTAGTTATGATTAAGAACTTGAGTTTTTGGATCATGGTTACTTTTCTATTCTGTGAAAGTGACTTACTCAAAGCCTTGCAGAGCCCAACTGTTTTCTTTCTGTTATCAAAGCTGGTAGATTTGAAATAGCATCAATAATAACCCAGAGAAATGTTACATAATTTTAATTTTTCATTGTGACAGGTGTGTAATTCATGTCAGTCCGAGAGCCGCATCATCTACTGCATCATACTTTTGTTTTTTCACTGTGTATTTATAATTTTTATTTTAATCTGGAGGCTTTTGAGAAAAAGAATGTACTAGGCTTATGAGCACAAAGGTTCTTGGTGTGCCTATAGGAAAAATACCTGAAATCTACAACTAAGACTTTGGGTGTCTTTTGTTTCCAAAAACAGTAGTTGGCATGAACTAGACATCTAGTCAGAAGCTGATGCAAGTGTAGTCTGTGTACATGGGTTTAAGTAAAAGTTTTTAGTTAGGTAGATAGATTTTTCCAGTTGAAATCATTTTATAGCCATTAATCTTTTAGGTTTTTTGTAAGATAGTTGGGCAAATGATTTTGCTGTTAGAGAGTGAAGTCTGTGACATCTAATTTCACTATTAATCAAATGGGGTGTGATGGTTTTCCTTTTGTAAGAACAGTGTTGTTAACAGCTTATTGAAAAGTACTGATTTTTGCTCCATGTTTGAACCCTTAACTGACACTGCTACCTTTTGTTAGATCTGATCATTTAGTATTTCAGTGTTTTTTAAACAATGGCTTGATGCCATTTCCAAATATATGTATTATGTAAATTAGTTTGGTGCTTACCTACAAAGTGCCATCATATTTGTGTTGCCCACTCTTATGCAGGTTCATAATATCTGTCAATTAGCCACTTAAACCTTCAGAATTTGATTGAAAGCAGTCTAAAACTGTTTCTAAATCTCATTAGCTGTATCAGAATCCCATACTGCATATTCTTTAAAAAATTTTAAAACATTTTATACATATGGGTGTTTTGCCTGCATGTATGTCTGTGTACCACATGCAGGCTGCTCTTCCAGAGGACTCAGGTTTGGTTCCCAGCACCTAGTCCCAGGGGACCCCAACACCCTCTTTTGGCCTCTCTGGATACTCATTTTAACAGCCCATTCCCCCCCCCCTTTTTTTTTTTTCTTTAATAACTTTAGTACTTTAACTTTTTTTTCTTCCAGAAACTGCTAAAATGAATGGAAAGAAAATTTCTTAAGTATGCTATTTATGTATTAAATATACTGGTAAAAATAAGATTAAGACTTTATGATCACAGCTTCAAAGTTTATGGAAAGTTAAGCAATCACTCAGCTTCTAGCAAATGGTTCTATTTAATTGTGGAGTAGTATTTTGCTGGTTGTAATAGGGATTCCTCCTGTAAAGAATTTTTCATACAGAAACCTAAATTTTTAATGTGTACTTGTACACTATCAAACTGAAGATAATTTTTTTTTTAGAATTAACCTTAAAATGTACATCCTCTGGCTTACATAAGCTTTTGTTATATTTTGAAGGTTATATTCTTTCTTTGTGACTGACTCACTTAGATCATTTGCTACAAAGTAGTAAAAGGTTTTTCAGAGTCAGACATTTCCAGATTTATTTAAAAACTATGTTCACTGACTACTTTTTCTTTTTTTTTTTTAATTAAGGTATTTTTTGTTGTTTTTGTTTTTTGCTGGTAAAATTGCTCATTTTGCAGGCACAGCTTGAACTGTAGTTTGTGTCCATATAAGAACCATTTACTAAAACTTCAGTAGTAACAGAATTATGAGATCTCCTATGGAAGAGGGCCTTAATGACTTATGTCAGGGGCAAAAATGGGGACAATTTCTGGATTTTTTTCCCCGTGTTTGTCTGATTTTTGAAATAAGAGAAAGGTATGAGAACAAAAACCAGATTAAGCCCTGTTAACTTTCTAGTTAGAATGATATCCTTAACAGTGGGAAATGATTTCAGGTAACAACAATAAAATGTTAAGTTTGATGAAGAGTTCTTATGTGTATAATTTGAATAGAAATGAAAAGTATGAGTACTGAAGTGTTTTCTGACTGTTTAGCACATTGGATATGTGTATTCTTAACAGAAAGTAACACCTGTCTTTGGTGACATAGATAAAGGTGGTTTGTAAATGGCTTTGTAGCTTTGACCCCTTTCTACAGCCAAGGAGTCTTTGTCTCCATTTAAATTACAAAATAAGCATAGAGGGATTGAAAGTTTGTCTAAACTCCATCTTTCTATTGTTACACTTTTTTAGTTATATTTAGGAGATGTTGGTTAATTATAAATTGGTCATAAATTTGCTTTTTCCTGAACATTTGGCCATGCGTTTAGTCAGTTTTTTGAGGATAAAGGATATTTTCAGTCCTATAATCCTTGATGACAGTCTTAAAAAAAATACAAATCAGATTTTATTGTTCTACTTGTTATTTGTGTATTCATGTAGTGAATTCATTTCAAGGATTGTGCCAGTGGATATTATTGGTGCTTTTTGAAGTTAAAGTGGACTATCCAGGAAGGTCTTGTTAATACTATGTTCATCTATAATGGCATAGGGGAAATATATATATTTTTAATACTGTAAACGTTTGTACTGAATAACCTTTTTTTCCCCCTCCCGCAAGCAAAACTGGTGAACAGCGGATGAAGATACGGAATTCAAAGCTCTAATGGACCTTTTTGAAGAGAAGTTGTGGCTTATGTGGAGTTTACATGGGCCTCTGATGGAAGAAAGCTAATCTGTTTAGTATTTTGTGCATTTTACTAAAATGGCAGCTTAACATTGTGTATCTGCTATTGTGATGCCAATGCCGGTGTTTTAAGTGGAAAAATGACCTCTTTGCTTTGTGCTGTGTACACAAGATTTCTGGAAAAGTAAAGGAAAACCCTTTTTATGGCTCACACAGCTTAAAAGTAGCTGTCACTCAAACATGGGCTCACAGTTGAGCTGCTTTTGTTTTATTCTAAATAAATTGTTTCTTTTGAGGAAAATGTTTTTCTGCCTGGAAGTGAATTGACGGCAAACCTTGACCCCTTTGTTTGCAGCGGAGGGGGTACTTACTGCTGCTCAGATCTTGTATGTTTTGAGCAAGAAGCAGGGAGACCATCAATTTCATTTTGACTATCACGGTGTGTCAATTCTGAAGGATCATAGTGTTACAGTGACCCCCTTTGTTTGCAGCGAAGGGGATCCTTTGCTTCTCGGTCCTCAACACGATGAGGGTGCTGTTTGCTGGCGTGCAAGAAGCCGGGGCAAGCACCCTAAGTCTCACCACAGTGCACGAGTCTGGGGCTTTGCTGGTTTGAAGAGCCGGAGTTCCTGAAATTTAAGTTTTGATTTATTTTGTTCACCCATCACGTTTGGCTTTAGTTTCATTTTTTAATTTGAAGAAAAGTTTGAAATTGCATTATCTTGCACTTTTAACATTTGCACCAAATTGCCAAAAGAAGGAGAAATGCTCCGGTTGCTTTTTAAATATTAATGATGATGTTAATAAAGCCTTTCCTGACACATTTGAGGAGCTCCTCCGTCTCCAGGGGCTTCTTACCAGAGTTATGCAGTGATGGGTTTAGTTCTGAATGGATGAAGAGTTCCTGAGAGCTAGCGTTTGTAATTAGAACCGTTACTTGGTATCTGTGCCTTATTTGACCTGTGGTTCCACATGCCTTGGATGTGCATGCATCGTGACGGTTTCATAGGTACGAACGCACACTCAGGCCCAGTCACTTCGGTTGGTAGTACAGATTGTGAGGAAAAAAAATGGAGGCATCCTTAAGGAGGAGAAAGTGTTTGCCTTTAGTTCCTGCATTATCCTGTACAGGGGCTCTTGAGCTTTGGAAGCCTGTTCCCAGTACAGGAGAAAAACTCCAGTTTGCAGCAGAATACTTCAGTGCACAGTGACAACGCTGGAGTTCAAGAGGAAGCCAGCAATTCTGCACCTTTGGCTTCAGATACCATGGTTGTTTGCCAGTTTTAAACTTAACTAGTTGCAGACGAAGACCACCTTGACATGCAGGCTTGTTTGGGCTTGTTTTGAATTTTAACCTCGGATGGAAGAGCCCTAGTGCTGTCTTGTCTCCATGCGGGATGATGATTGCTAGGCAACAGGTGATTATCAACCAAGGATGCCACGGTTATACTCTGCAAGGTGGTGTTCCAGTGGTAAACAGCTGTTTAAACTTGTAAACAGGTAAGAGGGTTTTTAGAAGTCAAAAATACAATTCCTAGGGTGAGGGCATTTAATGTTTTGGTTATGTTTCTCTGCTTGGAAGTCTCTAGACACTGTTGCTGTTAACAAACATCTTCCTCTCACTTAGGTGTTTACAAAATACTGCAACTTTGTTCTTGATAATTATTTTGTATTTTATTTTTGAGTCTATTTTATCATCTGAAAAATATTTTAATGTGGGACCTAAGTGTTAACATTTTGATTATGGACTTGAGCCTTGGTGTCTTACATTTTTGACATTTGCCATTAACCTTGCTGTTCACCTTTTATTGTGATTAATGGTGCAAGAGGACTTATGGCTATCAAAACACTCAAGGATTTTTTTTTTAATTGAGAATTATAGATATTTTATCCAAATGGTTTTTTTCTTGTTCCTCAAAGAGATTATGAAATTGAGGCAACCGCACCTTGAGGGAAATGAATAGGCAGTGTTAAAAAGTCTTAGCCATTTTTATTGTCCAGTTATCCTAGTAGCCTGAGGGTCCTCTGTGCACATTAATCTTTCTTTGTATGTCATACAACTTCCTCACTTTGCTTTAAATGAGATCAGAAATTTTGAATGGAATTGTTCATAACTTCTTCCATAAGATTTAGGGAATCTGGTAACTATAGTAGCTTGTCTGTACTGGCTTACTTTTTCCCCCATGGTTGGTTTGGGCTCCATGGATGGTTTACCTGCACAGCTTAAATACTGGATTTAAAAAAACCAAAACGCTGCTTAAAACACTGATACAGTGAGGACAAAATGAAGAAAACCAGGCCTTTTCAGGTTCTTGGTGTATTATTTATAAGTGTTTTTAACCCAAGTTTGCTTGTGAGGTGCTTTACTTTAGGCTTTACTAATTGAGCTCACCTTGCATATCTAAACAGTTTATACCTGTTGGAATGCCAGTTTTTGTTGTATTTTCTCTTTTGCTAGTCTTTTAAGTAGTTTATCAATCAGTAGTCAAATATTTTAAATAACTGGCTATTTAGGAAGATTATATTGCATTGCTTATGCATTTATACATATTTAACTTTCTGAAGTTTCAGACTTCATCTCAATAATGAGGGAAGAGTGTTTCAAGTCAGCATTTAATGTATTATATAAAACCGTATGCAAAATGGGAAGATACACAGTATAACAACACTGTTTTGAAACTATGGTATTCATGAAATTATTCTTATCTATACTGAAGGACAATTAACTGATAAAATGTTTTGATTTTAAAATGTAGAAACTGCTCTTTGAATTTATTTGTGTGGTTTCCCAGTATCTTTAGGATAATTTAGATATAGCATATTGCTCTGAGACATCTCTGAATTAATTTGAGTTCATTATTAAAAGCTTAGCAGTGATGATTAAAATTGAAAATAAGTATTGCCTTAAGTAAAACAACCTAGATTTTATAAATTGCTATTTCCATAGCTTGAATCGGTTGGTTACAAGCTTTATATTTACTTGGGCCTTTTTGAGATAGTCTTCTTGCTTCTGAAGCCCAGACTGGTCTAAACTCAAGGTCTTCCTGCCTCTGCTTCTCTAGTGTTAAGATTACAGGCATGTGACACCATATCTGGCTTCACAGCATCTAATTAATAACTTGGATCTAGTTTAAATTGCTTTTTTAATTCCTTTTTATTTTATGTCCATTGGTGTTTTTGCCTGCATGTATGTCTGTATTAGGGTGTTGGGTCCCCTAGAACTAAAGTTATGGACAGTTGTGAGCTGCTGTGTGGTGCTGGGAGATGAAACGCAGTCCTCTGGAAGAGGTCGGTGCTCTTAACAGCCTCCTACTTTTAAATTCTTAACAGAAATGTATTGAATGACAGTATCTTCAAACCTCAGACAAGCTCAGTCTTGGCAGGAGAGAAAGGTTCTGAACTTAAAGTACTTGCTATGCTTCAGCTCAAGTGACTATAATCATTTTCCAGCTGAAGTTTTTAATAGTTTGAATATGAATATTGGCTATATATTAGGAACCAAGATTCTGAGAGTAGAGAATGAGAAAGTATCAGGTAGTTTCTACCACTGTAACAGTTTATTCAGTAATTAAGGAATGAGGTATAAAGAGATAAATAGCCACCAGGGAAAAGTTTAGTAGTGTTTAAGATAATAGGAAAGATGTAACAGATCAGTTGCTGAGGATTTTTTTTTTTTGCAGGTGGTAATGGATATGACAATATGAATAGGTTTCTGAAGTTGGGATGGTTAAGAAAAGCTTAACAAAAGAGTTAAAAGAGGATGTGGAATGGTAGAGGGAGTTTGTGATGGACAGGTCAGGCAGACACGCATGAATAAGAATACAGGAAAAGTAGTATGATGATTGGGTCAGCAGAAATAGGAAATTCCAAAGAGCAAACAAATTTGAGGAGGTGGGGAGTGGAGATGGATCTTCAGTTGCAGCTTATTGACAGCAGCCAATTACTAAATATAAATACTTTACAACAAGCATTCTGCAGAGTGCTGTGTACACATTGCCTCATTTAAGTTTTCTACATTCTAATTTGATACTGTGGACCCAGGGTTCTAACCAGGTCTCTGTCCTGTCTAGGGCTCTCAAGGTAATTAATTTTGCCTTGCTACTTTTTTCCTCTAGAGGCCATGGATAGGATTAAAGCTGAAATTTGAGAAAAATGTGTGGGCAATTAATTACAAATGATACTGTACTAATATTTATATTGTCTGTGAAATAGGCTCTTTGCTCCTCCTCTATTTATTCTACTTTGAGATTTGTTGGGACTAGCATGGTCTGGAAGTTTGTTCCTTTACATGTTTCTCAGATAATTTCGCTGTATTTTGTTCTCTGGTCAATGGGCTATATGTTGAATAACACTGTACTGAGAGCGTAGAGTGCTGAGGTATAAACCAAGGGTTATATGCTTGATGAATGAGAAAAGAAGATGGTACTTGAAAAAAAGTGTAGGTAGGAGATTAAAAAAAGGTTCTGTTTCAGAGTGGAGAAGAGGAGCTTCTAGAAGATAAGCAATTGTTGGAGTAAACAAAACAGAACTAAATAACTTAAAATTACTACCTAAGTCCTAGATACTGTGGCACATGCCTCTAATCTCAGCTCTTGGGAGGCAGGATAGAGTTCAAGGCCTTTCTGCAATATTACGTGGCAGAACCCTGTTTCAAAATGAAACAGCAGAAGAAAATTATCATAAAGTAGCAGTTTATAATCTCTTATTTCTTCAAGGTACTCATTCTTGCTTAGTATTTAATTTTGCCTCATCAACAAGGATTGGTGATGTAGTCCAGTGGCTGAGCACTTGCCATAGAGTGCATAAGGCCCTGGGTTTGGTCCCCAGACACTAAACCCAACACACACACACACACACACACACACACACACACACACACACACACACGAAATGCTAAAGTGACACAAGAAAAGTTATATGTCTTGGTTAAGTAAAACATAACAAGCTTATTGAGGGATCCTTGAGTTACCAGATATTAATATGAAAGTAATATGACTGAAGTCTAAGAATTGAAAGCAGTTCTGTGTGTGTGTGTGCCCGTGCGCATGTGCCCGCACGCAAAGGAAAATTAGCATTTCAGATTCTCTAGAGATTATGATTATAGGGTTTGTTTACTGTTTTTTTTTTTTTTTTTGGTTGTTGTTTGTTTGTTTTTAAAATCGGAGCTGAAGAGAAAGCTCAATGGTTAAGAGCACTGGTTGATCTTCCAGAGGACACAGCTTCCATTCCCAGCACCCACATAGCTCACAGCTATCTGTAACTCCAGTTCCAGGGGATCTGCTGCCCTCTTCTGGCCTCCTG